TCTTTCTTTCTTTCTTTCTTTCTTTCTTTCTTTCTTTCTTTCTTTCTTTCTTTCCTCTTTCTTTCCTCTCTCTCTCTCTCCCTTTCTTCCTTTCTTCCTTTCTTCCTTCCTTCCTTTCTTCCTTCCTTCCTTCCTTCTTCCTCCTTCCTCCCTCCTCCCTCCTCCCTCCTCCTTCCCTCCTTCCTTCCTTCCTTCCTTCTTTCTTTCTCTCTCTCTCTCTCTCTTTCTTTCCTTCTTTTTTTTTCCTAAAGAATTTATTTTTAAGTAATCTCTGCATCCAAGGTGGGCCTTGAACTCACAACCCCGAGATCAAGAGTGGCATGCTCCCCTGACTGAGCCAGCCAGGTGCCCCCAAGAAGCTAGTTCTGCTCAGTTAGAGCATCTGTTTTTCCTCTGTGCCTTTCTTCAAATAGCCTTACTAAACCACATGAGGAGTTGAGACCATGGAGAGGGGTCAAATTCAGATCCTTGAGGTACTCCTGGGCTGGTGGGAGAGACTGACCAGGCAAAGAGAGGTCATTAGACCAGGGCCTGGAAGGATGGAAGCACAGTGGACATGGGGCCAGAGGCAGCACAGCCCAGCTGGGCAGGCAAGGCTTTCTGATGCTGTGAACCCAGGTTAGAAGGATGAGGAGCTGTTACCCAAGTGAGGCAGGGGGTCAACAGTTCTATCCAGAGGGACAGCCCAGAGTCATGTTGGTGCTGGTGCTTTTGAGCACTGCAAGCAGGTCAGACTGGCTGAATGCTGACAGAGTGGAGAACATGATGGGTGGGTGGGGCTTCTGTCCATTTTTACATGCTAAAAATCTCTCCAGGTTTCTTACCGTGCACTGCTCCCTCCTTCCTTTCTCTGCCACAGGTGCCTTCTCTCCACACAGCTGCACCAGCCTCGTCACCTCTTGCCTATAAACTATGGCACAAGCCTTCCAACTGGTCCAATGGGTTCTCATCTATGCCCCTGCTCACCTCAGTCCATACCCTACACCTGTCGCTAAGGAGCCCAGCTTTGCCATTTCTTTTTTTTTTTTTTTTTAAGATTTTATTTATTTATTTAACAGAGAAAGACAGTGAGAGAGAGAACACAAGCAGGGGGAGTGGGAGAGGAAGAAGCAGGCTTCCGGCTGAGCAGGGAGCCTGATGCAGGGCTCGATCCCAGGACCCTGGGATCATGACCTGAGCCGAAGGCCGACGCTTAACGACTGAGCCACCCAGGCGCCCCCCAGCTTTGCCATTTCTTAAAGCCCTCCCTGCCTACTCACCACTAACTGGTTGGTGCCCCAAAGCCTTGGCCCAGCTTTGAAGGCCTCTCAGCATCTCTCCAGTGCCCATCACTCCTACCTCATTTCAGTGGCTTCCCCCCACTCACTAGGCCTGTGGGCATTTCCACAAGGGCTCCATGCTCCCTCGTGCCTCTACATATTTGCTCTTTCCTGTGTGTGTTCTCCGCTGTGCGTGCATACACCGGTGGTGAGTCCCTCAGTCTTCGAGGTTATCTCTCTCTCCTCACTTTCCTGGCACCCCCTCCTAGGGCAGGGTTTGTCCCTACCTTGTTCCAACACATCCCTGTTTGTAATCTATAATAGCTCATATCCCATTAATTTGTATTTACAGTTGGACATGGATTTGAATTGCATGGGTCCACTTATCCACAATTTTTAAAATAAATACAGTACAGTAGTATATGTGTATTTTCTCTTATGATTTTCTTTTCTTAAGATTTATTTATTTTAGAGAGAGAGAGAAATTGGGAGCCCATGGAGGGGGAGGGGCAGAGGGAGAGGGAGAGAGAGAATCTCAAGCAGGTTCCACACTGGTGGAGCTTGATCTCATGACGCCAAGATCATGACCTGAGCCGAAATCAAGGGTCGGACATTCAACCCACTGAGCCACCCAGGTGCCCCATGATTTTCTCAATAATATTTTCTTTAGCTTACTTTATTGTAAGAATACAGTATCTAATTGAATTTAAATTAAAAAATTAAATTAAATTAGAAATAAAAAAGAATCTAGTATCTAATATATATAACTTACAAAATGTATTAATCAACACTTTATGTTCTTGGTAAGGTCTTCTTTCTGGTCAACAGTAGGCTATCAGTCGTTGAGGTTTGGGGGAGTCAAAGTTACAAGCAGATTTTCAACTGCACCAGAGTTTGGTGCCCCTAACCCCCATGTTGTTCACAGATCAACTGTATCTCCCCCATTAAATGTGAATCCCTTGAGGACTGGGCAGGCCCATATTGGGTTCAATGTGGTGACCCTGGCACCCAGCAGAGACCCTGGCACACTGTGGTCATAGTATCATTTTTTGAAGGAATGAACAGAATAAATAAGGCTTGTCTTGGTGTTTCTGAAGGGGAGATCCTTGGACCAGCCCTGGCAGAAAATACAGGACTCACTGAGCTTAATATAAGCTGGAATCACCTTCGAGGACCAGGAGCTGTAGCCTTTGCCAGGGGACTGGAGGTATGAACAGCTCTGCAGCCTGTCTACCCATCCAGCTTGTCCTGTGGGGACAGGTCTCCCAGGTGCCAGCTCCCTGACTTTACAGCTTTTCAGAAATGAGCCTTGGATCTTTTAAGAAGAGCTTAAAAAATATTTTGTTTGGTGACTTTAATTTTCCCAGCCCCATTTCATGACTAAAACACCATGCTCACTCTCGAGACGCTTCCTGAAGGGTCTACAGTTGAATGTTGCATAACTTCTCCGGATGTTATAGATATTATAGGCATATGGCTGGTGGGGGACATCATGCGGTCTGGTGAAACATGCTCACTAAATGAGCGTATGCAGATTTTTTTCCCCTGAGGTGACACCCTGCACCCTTGGGTCCCAGCACACATTCTCAAACATCCCGCTTGCTTCCTTGGATATTGTGGTTCGTAGGCCTTGGGAATGGGTGGCTCCTAGCCCCTTCCAGGATGCCCCTGGTGCCAGCTACCTTTGTGGAGTTCTCCTCAGGAAATGTCAGCAGCTGCCTTGCTTGGCCCACTCCCCTGGGGCTGACCTAGGGATCCTGCTCCACAAGTCGTAGGTCAGGCTTTGTCTTCCCAGTGCAGCCACAAGCTCCTGCCCTTCTCCCCATCACAGACTCCCAACAACCCTTCCTTGGAGCCCCTTTGGAGTCTTGCTCTGTGCCTCAGAGTACCTGCCTTTGGGTCCCCAAGTGGGCGTGAGCCAGATCACTGCATCAGTCTCTGAGGGTCATCCACACCCACACCCACCCTTGGTGCTATGCTTCCACTCATTCAGTTCTCCTGGTCACCATCATTCAAGCCACAAGATTCTTTTTTTTTTTTTAAAGATTGATTGATTTGGCAGAGAGAGAGAGACACAGCGAGAGAGGGAACACAAGCAGGGGGAGTGGGAGAGGGAGAAGCAGGCTTCCCACTGAGTAGGGAGCCCAATGTGGGGCTCTATCCCCAGGATCATGACCTGAGCCGAAGGCAGACGCTTAACGACTGAGCCACCCAGGCACCCCAAGCCACAAAATTCTTACCTGGAACCTCTGACCTTCTACTCTCAGTCTGTGTTTTTTGCACCTCGGGCCTCCTGGGCTCTGAGGCTGTGGTCCCTGGCCACCTTCATGGGAGGTCTCCTGGATTCACTCTTTTGTATTCCAGGCAAACATCTTCCTCAGAGTCCTGGACATCTCATACAATGGCTTTGGAGATCCTGGAGCATCCGCAGTAGGTGAGGCACTTAAGACCAACAACGTGTTGGAGGAACTCAACACGAGGTAAGGTGCATAGGGTGTCCCCTGTGTCACAGCCTCCACATCCAAAGTCACCTGAGGGATCAGGGACTCCACGATCCTCCTGCTGTTTACTACCTTAGCTCCCAAACCTACCACAGTCTACCCATGATGGGGTTTGAGCCACAATCCAGGAGCACCCAGCTCCATCCTCCTCACTCAAGTTCAGCATTATACCTTGGATCTCATAATTCCTGCTGCATAGGGGGGTGGCTGGGAATTGAAAACACATATGTAAAACATCTTCAGTAGAGGGATACCTAGGTGGCTCAGTCAGTTAAGTGTCTGATTCTTGATCTCAGCTTGGCTCAGCTCTCAATCTCAGGGTGGTGAGTTCAAGCCCCACATTGGGCTCCTTGCTGGATGTAGAGCCTACTTCCAAACAAAACAAAACAAACAAACAAGAAACATCTTCAGCAGAGCCTGGTGCGGGGTGAGTGCTCATGCTCTGCTCAGCATATGACTGCTGGGTGCTTGCCGTGTGTGATTTGCTGTTCCAAGCTCAGGCAGCATCCCATCCCTCAGCAAGTAACCAGAGCAGAGGCCACAAACCAGAGGGAAAGAAAGAGGCAGAAGCCCAACAGGTCTTGGACTGCTGTGGCTGAGCACTTCCCCCAGGGGCCTGCTGGAGAGAGCAGGGTCTGCCTGCTGCAATTCTGTCCTTCCCATGGAAGAAGCTAAGGCCAGAAGAGGCTATGAGATGTGCTGGAATTTGAGGCCAGAGCTGGGGTCTGAGAGGTCAGAGAGAAGTGGGACTGGCTCTGAGATAAAGTGGCCAAGAGAGGTGCTGGGGCCAGAGTTTAGGTCCATCTAGAGAAGCAGGAGGAGAGGACGTGAGGACAGAGCTGGGTGGTTTCCAGAACAGATGCTGTCATGGTGATAGGAATGGGGTGCTGCTGATGTGGAACGTGTGGGAGGACCTGCGGAGCTCAGAGGGCCTGGGAACAGCATCTGGCCTCCACTGGGGGTAGGGGTGCTCTAGGTATGTTTGCTGAGTGTTCTCCCTGAACACCGGGACCCTCCAGGGTCACTATCCAGCCTTTACATACTGACCTGCCCAGGGTCCCTGGAGCATCAGTGGAGGCTGGAACATGAAGCCCACCCAGGTGGATGCACCTGCACAGCTGCTCGGAAGGTAGCAAAATGCTCCTGTCTTTCTGTTGCAGCAACAACCGCATCTCTGCAGTGGGAGCCTTGAGCCTGGGCCTGGGCCTCCGGGTCAACCAGACACTGAGGATTCTAGTTGTGAGTGCTAGCCTGACGGGAGAGGCCCCCCCTATACATATCCACACAGATCCCTCCCCTGCCACATCACTCCAGTGGCAGTGGGGTACACAGGTTCTGGAGCCCAGATAAGGGCGGGGGCCTCCTGCTTCCTCTTGTGACCACTTCTTTCCCTTGCCATTCACTCACCCATCTCTGGCCTGACCCATATACTTCAGACTCCTCCCTTACCCTTCCTTCCCTCCCAGCAGTGTCACCCCACCTCCCAGCTGTCCTTCCTTTTTCTCAGACCACCTGGTCAGCCCAGGTGTACTGTTGGCCATTCTCAGACCTACCCGAGGTCTCGTGTGCACACTAGGGGTTCCCTTCCTTCAGGGTTGCCAGTGGGCTAAGCTGAGAGCAGAGTACAGAGAAGGGAGGGTGCAACCGGGGGTGGAGCAGGCCTGTGAGGGCCACTGTGCCAACAGCAAGTGCTCAGAGGACAGTACTGCCAGGTCCAGGGGCATCCAGCCCTGCCTGGCTCTCAGCTCCTTCAACTGGCAGAGGAGCCTTGTGTAGCCCTCCCATCCCCAGCCTGAGGCTCGCTCCTCTCCCACTCACTCCTCCACCCCTGCCCCTCGCTGCAACCCAGACCTCTCTTAAGCTTTGGATCCCCATTTCCAGCCACCTGCTGGATGGTCCCCTGGATGTCCCATGGGCACAAAGCATAACCTGAAGACATCATCTCTCTCTAAGGGCTGTCCCCGTGGGCGGGGGGTAGGAGGGCCTCCTCATGGAGTCACCCCTCCCTCTCTTTCCCATGCCTTCCATCCTTCATCTAAGTTCCTGCAGAGTGCGCAGGCTTCCTGCTCCTCCTTTTCACTTCCCCTCAAGTTCTGTGGACCTGCTAGTTTCCCATCTCTGTCCCTTCTTTCCTACCTACCAGGTGATCTTTCTAAACCAGAAACATGCTCCTGTCCCTCCTTGCTTTAAACCTGTCAGCGGCTCCCCTCTGGATAAATCCAAGCTTAGTAGTATGTCATTCACTATACATTGGGCTCCGGGCTCTGCCATAATCCCTCTGCCTGCCACCTGTGAAGCTCATTCTCTCACCCCAAGCTGTTCTGAATTTTCTGCACATGGTGCATTCTCTCTCCTCTGTTTTGCTTCTCCTGCTCTTCTTGCTGAAATACCCAGCTCTGCGCACCTCACTTGTAAAGCTCGGGGCCGGTATTTTATCCCCTGCCTAACCTTCACCTCCCAAGGAGAGCTGATGCACACTCTCATTGCACTGCATTTTCATGATGTTTCCTTTCCCTCTCTTCCCCATGACGGGTGGACTCTTTAAAGACAGGGATGTGCCCTGTGTGTCTGTATCTTTGGCACCCAGCACAGAGTTGGGCATGGTGGTGGTGGGGTGCTCAGCCAGTGTTTATTCTCTTCCTCTCTTCCCTGGCCCCACAGGCTCACCAAGGGCATTCTGTCAGTGGAGACAACTTCTGAGCTGAGACAGTGGGGCTGTCCCGAGCCACTCAGCAGATATGAAGAATCCCTCCCTCCCTTTGGAGGTGCTCCATGAGCCTCCCTGGGGCTCAGGTTTTCTCAATTGTGTGTGTGTTTCTCAGATGTCCAGGAATCCCATGCGAGGCGAAGGCTGCTTTGGAGTTCTAAAGTCTGTCCGGGATAATCCAATGTCTGCCCTAGAGGTCCTAGATTTCTCTGTAAGAGCTTTTCATAAATCTCATCTGTGATCCTCCCCACAGCCCCATGAGTTATCATTTAGAGGAAGAAAGTGGGGATCAGAGAAATAGAGTGCCCTGCCCAGATACTTAACGTGGCTGAGTCTGAGCCCCACCCCAGGCTGGTCACAGTGCCACTCTGGCTCTATTCCCACTCCTGACTGGGGGGTCCCGCCATGGTCTCACCTCCAACCCCCGCCTGGGTTCTTCATTGGCTGAGAGAGACTAGGTGGCTCAGAGGACACAAAGCTCGCTGTTCACTGATGTTTGGATTTGCAGGTTCAGTACTTGCAAGGCGGCCCCACCCCGCCCCCTGGCCTGTTCTGTCTGCAGGTGGATCATGGTGCTGGAAGATTCACTCATGTGGCCTTGAGGGAGATTAAGACTCCTTTTCATTCAATTGTGCCTTTTTGATATAGAAAATTAAAAGCAGTTAAACATTAAGGAGAGAATCCCCAAATATGAGTTATTGAAAGGAAGTCTAGTCACAAATCACTGCTTATTCTAACCCTGGTCGATGTCAACCCAGATTTAAGTCAAAACCCTTCCAGAGATGTGTTTTTTACAGTTACAATCCTTCAGACTTATTGCTTCCTTCTGCCTGCCCAGTTTCTACAGCTCCAAAGCTAGAGATTAGTTTGCCTTGACCATGTTCCTCCTGCTCTGAGGATTCCTGTTAGCATTGGCTTCTACCATTAAAAAGGAGGGGGGGGGGCACCTGGCTGTCTCAGTGGGAAGAGCATGTGACTCTTGATCTCAGAGCTGTAGGTTTGAGTCCCACATTGGGTGCAGAAATTACTTAAATATTTTTAAAAAATAAAGGAATGATATATAAAACTCTTCTGCAAAACTATGTGCTTATTCAATATAACCTATGGTTATTATCAGGAGCTTTCAATCTAGTGGAAACAGAGGTGAGAATCAGACAGGCCTGGGACCAAATCCTGAGTCATCAACATGGCATCTTCTGAATTGAAGAATAACACTAGTCTAGATGCAATGTACTAATTTCCTGTTCCTTAGCTGTTATTAGTCTAATCTCCCCAGCCTAGATTTTCTCCTCAGCTTTAAGGGAAATACTTCTTTTTCTTTTTTTTAAAAGATTTTGTTTATTTATTTGACAGAGAGAGAGAGAGCACAAGCAGGTGGAGCAGCAGACAGAGGGAGAGGGAGAAGCAATCTCTCCGCCGAGCAGGGAGCCCAACTCAGGGTTTGATCCAGGACTTTGGGATCATGACCTGAGCTGAAAGCAAACGCTTAACCGACTGAGCCACCTAGGCGCCCCTAAGGGAAATGCTTCTGAATCCCGACAGTTCATGTAAAACCCTTCCCAGGTTTCAGCTTTGTCTTCAGGTGAAACGGGGCTAAAATCTTCCAACCAGGCTCATTGCAAAGAGGGGATGAGCTAGCAGACCCCACAGGAAAGGCCTGTGTAGAGAAAGATCCCATTAGTGCTAATATTCTTCCCCTGACTCCTGTTATTGAGGAATAACGTCTATGCTGAAAAGTGCACATGGGTTAGGGCTGTGAATTTCCATGGACAGAACACACCTATGCAACCAGCCCCCAGATCAAGAAATAGTGCAGGCCCCAAGGAGCTCCCCTGGAGCCACTTCTGTTCTCTATTTTAATGGTTTGGGGAGTAATGACATTGTCATCCATAGGAGAGAAGTGGTCCTAAGGTGTTCTTCAAAACCTTGTGTGTATAAGTGAAAAACAGTGACGTTCTCAGACAGTGATAATGTACTGCCTTGTAACGGGTTTCTCCTCAGGAGATCCAGGTGGACAGAGAGTTTGATGACCTCGCCAGCTCAGTGAAGGTACTTCTTCCAGCACTCCATGTAAAGACTGCTGCCCACAGAGTAGAGTACAGAAAAGAGTTACTGCCAGTCTTCACCCCATCCCTACCAGCGTCTGTCCCTAAGTGACTGTGGTGGGTGGCTTCCTCATCTCACATCGGCCTCTTCAACGTCGAGGGTTCTTGGCCTCACGATGCCTTATTACCACTTGAGTCTGCAGTGAGTCCCCATGTCAACTGGGTGGTAAGTCCTATGGAACCTGTCTTGATGGAGTCTCAGACCCTGTACCCTCCTCTCCATCTCATGGCTTCTGTTAATGCAGAGACTGGGACTTCCTTCGCTCACACTAATTTGTGTAACTTCTACTATGTGCTACATATTGGGGTCAGAAATGTCCCAAGTCCCAGCTTTGGTGACCTCAGGAGACAATGAAAGTACAAACTCAACTTGCCAGAATGCAAACTGACACAACTTTTCTGGGAGGCAATTTATCATTATGCACCAAAAGCCTTAAAACTGCCTGTGCTCTTTGATTCAATGGTCTAATTAATCTGCTCTGCAGAAATAACCAGAGAAATAACCTGCATAAAAAGATTAATGCCCAAAGATATTCACTGAAATGCTGTTTATAACATGAAAACTGGAAATAATCTAAATGCCCACTAACAGGGGTTAACTAAGATTTGGAAATCTGCAAACATTAAAAGCCAAGTGTTCAAAGAACATTTAATAATTTATGAAAATGCACATGATTAATGTTAAGTGAGAAAATCAAGATAAAATCACATGGTTTGGTTAGTAATTCCTCAAAAGATTAAACATGTAGTTTATCATAGACCCAGCAATTCCAGTCATAGAGAAATGAAAACATATGTTCACACAAAAACTTGCACACAGATGTTCACAGCTTTATTCATAATATCCACAAAGTACAAATGTCCACCAACTGATAAATGGATAAATAAAATATGGTATACCCATACAATAGCACACCCCTACAATTTGGCCATAAAAAGGCATGAAATTTGGGGTGATGAAAGTGTTCTAAAATTGATTGTGGTAATGGTTGCACAAATCTGAATATACCAAAATTAGTTATTGTACACTGTTTTTTTTTTAAGATTTGTTTATTTATTTTAGAGGTGGGGAGGGACACAGGGAGAGGGAGAGAGAATCTCAAGCTGACTCCCTGCTGAGCGCGCAGCCGGGCATGGGGCTTGATCTCACGACCTTGAGATCATGACCTGAACTAAAAATAAGAGTCAGACGCTCAACTGACTGAGCCACCCAGGTGCCCCTGAATTGTACAGTTTAAATAGGTGAACTGTATAGTATGTGAATTATAGCTCAATAAAGCTGTTTACAAGAAAAAGGAATAAGGGGGCGCCTGGGTGACTCGGTTAAGCGACTGCCTTCGGCTCAGGTCATAATCCTGGCGTCCTGGGATCGAGTCCCGCATTTGGCTCCCTGCTCAGTGAGGAGTCTGCTTCTTCCTCTGACCCTCCCCTCTCTCATGCTCTGTCTCTCATTCTCTCTCTCTCAAATAAATAAAATCCTTAAAAAGAAAAAAAAAGAAACTAAAAAAAGAGAAAAAGGAATAAGGTATCATGCTACTACAGGAATGTATCATGTATCAGGAGGAATGTATCATGCTACAACATGAAGGAACTTTGAAAACATTATGCTAAATGAAAGCATTCACAAAAGACCACATATTGTATGATTCTGTTTATATGAAATGTCCAGAATAGGCAAATCTATAGAGACAGAAAGTAGATTAGAAGTTGCCTAAGGCAGGGGCGCATGGCTGGCTCAGTCCGTAGAGTATGTGACTCTTGATCTCGAGGTCGTAAGTTTGAGCCCTATGATGGGTGTAGAGATTACTTAAAAAAATAAAAAGAATTAAAAAAAATAAAGAAGTTGCCTAGGGCTGGGGAGATGGGAGGGACTGGGAGTTGACAGCAAAAGGGCATGGGTTTCTTTGGGAAGTGACAAAAATGTTCTAAAATTGATTATGGTGATGGTTGCACAACTCTGTGAATAAACTACAAGCCAGTGGATTGTATACCACTTTAAATGGGTGAATTGTGGGGTGACTGGCTGGCTCAGTCGGTAGAACATGTGACTCTTGATTTCTGGGTTGTGAGTTCAAGCCGCACATCGGCTGTAGAGATTACTTAAAATAAAAAAATATTTTTTAAAATGGGTGAATTGTATAGTATGTGAATTATATCTCAAGAAAGCTGTTACCAAAACAAATCATATTGTTGGATCCAAATTGTGTAAAAAAAAACCATGTATAAGTATATGTATGCAGGAGAAAAGACTAAAAAAAACCCTGACATATTAATAATGTTTAGCTCTAAGTTGTGGCTTTGGGAATGATTTTAATTTTTTTCCTATTATTCTTCATTTTCCACACTTTCTACTCTGAATATGTGTTACTTTCATAACCAAAAAAATAAATAGTACTTTAAAATGTGAGAGGTGCCTGGGTGGCTCAGTCAGTTGAACATCTGACTCTTGATTTTGGCTCAGGTCATGATCTCAGGGTCCTGGGATCAAGCCCCACGTCAGACTCCTGCTCAGTGGGAAGTCTGCTTGTCTCCCTCCCCCTGCTTGTGTTCTCTCTCTCTCTCTAAAATAATAAATCTCTTTGAAAAATAAAAATGTGATGCAGGCTTCAATTAAATTATGCATGTGGTATGTTTGGAGCCCTAAGAAAGGAGGGTGCTATAGACTGAATTGGGTACCCCCCCAACTCCTATGTTGAAGCCCTAACCACTAATGTGACTGTATTTGGAGATAGGAGGTAATTGAGGTTAAATGAGCTCATAAGAGTGGGGCCCTGATCTGATAGGATTAGTGTCCGTATAGGAAGAGACACCAGAGAACTTGCTCTCTCTTCCTGCCCCTGTAGGCAGACACAGCAAGAAGGTGGCCTTCTGCAAGTCAAGAAGAGAGCCCTCGCTTGAAACCGACCCATCCAGAACTTGACCTTGCACTTCTAGCCTTCAGAACTGTGAAAAAAATAAACGTCTGTGCTTAAGCTACCCAGTCTGTGGTGTTTTGTTATGGCAGTTTAGCTAAGATAGAAGGATTCACTCTCCTGGAGAGAAGAAGCAGGGAAGGTTTCTCCTGGTTTCCCGGGCTCTCCCCTGACCTCCTTCCATCTCCCTCCTCCCTGCTGCCAAAGCTGCCTAAGGGCAGACCTAATCATACTATTCATATGTTCCCAAGGCCTACAGAAAAATTCCAGCTCCTCTATCTGGTGTGTCCCATTGCAGGGGTTGAGTTCTCCATTCTTCTCTAAGGAGAAGGTAAGAGTCTGCTCCAACACACTCTAGGGAATCACCAGAAAGGGTGTTGCATTGGGGTGATAAACTGGGGGTATGCCAGAATTCCTCTTACCCAGCTTTTCTCAGAAATAAATACACATTGGATCCTAAAGAAAGTTGAGTCAATCTTTACAGAATGGAAGAATCGGGTAATTGTTCCAAAGTCCCCCAAAATGGACACTGAGCTCCGACCCAGCTCTTGCGGGGTGTGGGGAGGCTGGGGTATACCCTTCCACTCCCTTATCTCCAGAAATCCAGTTCACATTAAAGTAATCAAATCCTGCCTGGTTCCCACGTGCCGGATGGCAAAGGCCTTTCTGCTCCAGAAAAGGGGTGGACAAGAAAGGGGGTGCAGACTTTAGGTATAAAGCTGGCATCCATCTTGTTAGTTCAGATGAAAGAATGAACACTAGAGGTCATACCCTCCGCAAGCACAGCTCGACCTGCTAGGGAATGGAGTAGGCCCAAGAGATAGGAATGCATAGTTATTCAAAGGATCATGACCCCAGTAGTTTACCCACGGAACAAACAGGCACTTAAAAGCAGCTGATCAGCACTATCCCAAACACACAATCACCAGATGTACCTAATGAAATCTCTAACCTAAGAAATATGTTTTTCAGATTCCAAGTCTCCCGAGATAGAGAGCAATTCCATGGACCAGAGGAGGCCACCTCAAGTAACAAAGTAGCATCTGTGAACATGATTTCAAGGGCCTCCAATCAACAGCGTCAGGAGACCCCTGACCCAAATTTTGCCCTTAAAAATCCTCACTTGTAAGGCATCAGGAAGTTCGGGCCTTTGAGCATTCGTTTCCCGTTCTCCTGTGTGGCACCACACCAATAAATATTCTATCTTCACGGCAAAAGCTCGGTGCCAGTCTTTTACTGGCTTGCTGGGCATGGAGTGGAGCAACTCTCCTTTGGATTGGTTACAGGTAGATGATTGGCAGACCTCTGAGAGGTAGTCATGTTTGCAAAGACCTAAATCAGGAACAGGCAGATGAGTGGGCTTGAGGCTCGAAGCGAGAAGGCGACACAATCTTGACTTGAAGCCATTCGCACACTGGGGACTTACATGCATGAAAATGTCCTGTGCCCCATGCAGAGAAAACCGTGGACACTCCAGCTTTCTAAAGGTGGAGGATGCACCAGAATGCTCCGCCTTTGGCTAGGCGGCCGCCTTCCCGCCAAAGCCGCATCCAATCAGAAAGCGCCATACTCCGAGAGTCAAGCAATGGCCAATCGGAAGCGGGATTCCAGGCCTCGGTCCGCCCCAAGGCACTGAGGACCAATAGGCGCCTGGGCAGCAGCGGGCCAATCGCTGGCAGTGTGCGCAGTGCAGCGGCGGCAGTTGGGCGCGTGGTGTCTGTGGCGGCAGTTGAGGTCAAGTAGCGGCGTTGGGCAGCAGCTGAGCTCACCATGGTAAGGCCCCGGGGCCTGGCCCGCATTGGCAGGACCCCGGCCACTCTTGCTCCGTGGACGCCCAGGCGGGAGGGTGGGCGAAGCCCGCCACGTGAGGCGACAGGATGGGGCAAGACTGCGACGGACGCCGGGACCAGGGTTCCGTGGGGGGCAGGCATCAGCTGGAAAAGGGGGCCGGGGTGGGCACGGGAGGCCCGGGGCTGCGGGGACGAGCAGATGGTCGTCCTCTCGCTTGTCCTCTGGGTGTGTGGCGACCTGCATCATGGGAGTGTCTGAGGTGAAGGGGGTGGGGGGTTGGCAGGTGCAGGCGGCTCCTCAGAAATTGTGCCTTTAACGAGCCAGGCTGGCAACTGGGTTGTTGGGTGGCCTCGACTCAGTCTCTGAGAAGACCAGCCACAGTGTTGGGTTCCTGAAGACGAGGGTGGTTCTCAAACTTCCGGGTCCCAGGACATCCCTACAGTATTACAAATTATCCAGGACTCCAAGAAGCTTTTGTTTATGTGGGTTACATCTATAGGCATTTGTCATGTTAGAAATTTAAAACGAGAAACTTTAAAAAAGTATTTGTTCACTTTAAGGCAACACATGTTAATATAAATAACAAATATCCAAGTCAGAATAGCCATAGTTTGTCAACTCTTTGTAGGAAAATAACATGCCATGACAAAAGCAGCTAGTTCAGTTGGCAACTCAAAACACAAGTGCCGTTTCTCGAGATAGCTGTATTTTAGCAGGTACACAAGTACTTTATGAATATTTTCCATTTTGTCACAGTTCTCGAGGCTGGAGATTTTATTTTTTTTAAGATATATTTATTTAATTTTAGAGACGACATGTGAGCGGGTTGGGGGTGGGGGAGAGGGAGAGAGCAAATCCTCAAGCAGACTCCCCGATGAACGCAGAACTTGATCCCAGGACCCTGAGATCATGACCTGAGTTGGAATCAAAGAGTCAGATGCTTGGGGGGCACCTGGGTGGCTCAGTCGTTAAGCGTCTGCCTT